TGGATGTATTACGGCCTTATTTATTGACTTAAGGAACGGATGTGGATGTATTACGGCCCTATTTATTGACATTAGGAACGGCAGTGGATGTATTACGGCCCTTTTTATTGACTTTAGGAACGGCAGTGGATGTCTTACGGCCTTATTTATTGACTTTAGGAACGGCAGTGGATGTATTACGGCCCTACTTATTGACTTTAGGAACGGCAGTGGATGTGTTACGGCCCTATTTATTGACATTTGGAACGGCAGTGGATGTTTTTACGGCCTATTTATTGACTGTGATGATATTTGTACACCCGAAAAGGACCTGGAAATGGCTCCGCAGCACGTTAGTTTTAGCCCCACACACTACACTGAGAGGTAGTATGACTCTATCGCCCTCTAACACTACGAGTGGCAGTTGCCACCAGAGGTGGACCATGCATGTATTTCATTTAGTTAGTGTATAATTCTGTTCTGTACCGAACTTCTCACCGTGCCCTCTGATTGTGTACTCATCCGACAGGTTGCCACAGTGAATCCATGGTATCCCTCGGCACGCGCTACCGCCAGTCCAGCCCATCTAGCGCCTCCTCGTTCCGGAATGGCTCAATGCCGAATACCAGGACAGGGTCCCCATTACAATCCAAAGTGCGGCCCAGGACATCCTTGTCAGGTGCACTTGTTAGCCGCATGGCTGGTACACACAAGCGACCACAAAAGGCCTATCGGGTGCCAAGGGCTCTGGAACATGTTGCGAGGAGTGGTACCGTCGTAGGGAGTGGGAGTGGGTCTGGTCTCCATGGCAACCACGCCAGATCCGCTTCCGGCCCAGACAGCCAATGCCACACGCTCACTGGGACTGCGCATACAACCCAGCCCACGCAATCGCAGACAGACTTGTTGGAGTGGGCCAACAGGGCTACAGACACAGACCAGGACTCACTGTCTGGGCAGTCGCAAGGCTCCGACATCCCGGATGCCCTGGATTTGCACAAATGGGTGACGGACAGTGCCGCCGCGAGTCCGCCTACGGAGTCGGATATGAGCCACATCCGCCAATCAGATCTGGTTGTAGCGCCTGTTGCCATGGCAACGCCAAAGGGGCCAATTGGAGACGCGGTAGGTGATGGTATTATCTATGAGACGGTCGAGCCAGACACCGACACCACCGCCGTGTGCAAAACCGACTTACTTCCGAATGGGGTGTGGGCACCCAGCCCAGATGCGAAAGCCTCAGGAGGTGCCGTAACCATGGCAACCAGTAAAACCCCGACGGTGGCCGATAGGCGGATGCCCTTCTCAAAAACGCGGCAGACCATAGGCGCTGGTCACTTCCAAACAGGACACCGGTCACCACTGGGCAAACACCTGGAGACCCACAGGCGTACCATCATGGCCTCACCCATTTTTCAGGACAATAGGACGCCCGGTGTGCGCTCAGTGACCCAGTCCGCACCCTTCGCACCAAGTGCTGGCGCAAGGGCCACCAGGACACACAGTGGATTAGGTGTAACAGGCACACACAGTGGAATAAATACAAGTACAACAGGCACACACAGTGGAATAAGTATAGGTACCACAGGCACACATAGTGGTATAAGTGTATGTACAACAGGCACACACGGCACATTAAGGGTTACAGGCACACACAGTGCACTCTCCAGTCCTCGAAGGAGTTCTGATATGTTACCCTCACGTCGCAGTAGCACTATGGCGATGGACCAGAAGGACTTTTGTATACGCCATATGAACAACCCTACAGGCCAGGGCAAAAGGAGCCCTACGGCGACGCACCAGGTGGACTTCTGTAGGCGCCACATCAGCAACCCCACAGACCAGGCCAAAAGCAGTCCTACGGCGACGCACCAGGAGGACCTCTGCAGGCGCCACATCAGCAACCCCACAGACCAGGTCAAAAGCAGTCCTACGGCGACGCACCAGGAGGACTTCTGCAGGCGCCACATCAGCAATCCCACAGACCAGGCCAGAAGTCCCGATGTTCGGGATTTGTTCACGCGGCCACAGTCAGCGTCCACATCGCGGACACTGCCGAGCGAGGATGTGGCCAAGGAAGAAGCAGCCGTTAACAATGCTTTAGATGGGAAGATTAAAAGTACAGCAGCCACGAATAGGGCGCATGGGAGGAGACTCTCGAGTGGTGCACAGCCGGCGGTAGGTAGGAGTGCGCGGGGGAGTAGGGGACAGCCGTCCATGAAGTGTCGGAAGTGGAATGGCTTATGCAGGCATGTAAGGCTGCAAACGAGTAGCTTATGAGGTGTATAACAGGACAGCGGGCGACATACACACACACACACATACACACACACACACATACACACACGCGCACACACACACACACACACACTATATATATATTTATATATATATTATAATAATCACCTTGTTACGTATATATTCACCCTTTTTTAATGTACGTTTGACATGTATATACATATAGCTATGATCTGGTATATGACGCTGTGCACGAAACATACGTACCTTTGCAGCAGCCTTGAACGACCTGTTATACCTGTCAATGTACTGTGACATTAGCCTTCTTACGTACACCCCGGAGTCAATTTGAGTATGTGGTGACTATATATCAATGAATTGCGCGTCTGGCTACGACTTAGTTCGCATGCGGGGTTGACAATGTCCATTCATAAGCGATACCCAAAATGTTAGACTTGCCGTCTTAGCCACAAGAGTTGAGACTGATGTGGCCCTATTCACATGTAACCATGGCAACGAGCATGGCACCCAACCGAAAATCTATGTGGTACATTGGCACTGGGACTTGACTTCAAAAGTCGGTCATCAGTGCTCATCGACACATGCAGTAGCACGGATTGTGAACATGCAGATACACCCAGTGTAGTTAGCCGAAACAAAATCATCGATCGCCAACTGCACTAACACTGACACTGACACTGACACTGACACTGACACTGACACTGACACTGGCACTGACACTGACACTGACACCGACACTGGCACTGACACTGACACTGACACTGACACTGGCATTGGTATTAGTATTTGTACGCGCGATGACAGCTTGATTGACTGACAAGTACACTAATGCGAGCGATTGATATCTCTGACACCAATTCAGGGCCCAATCGATGGACTATGCGACCCATGAGCCACCGCCGGGCCATCGATCCAGGCCAAAACGCACCAAAAAGTGCACACGCTCCCTGCCTCTATCACGAGCAGGCAGCAAAAACGGACCAGGAAGTGTTGTACGGCCTGAAGATGTTTTATTACTGGGCCAGATGGCCGATACCAAGCGTGCCCTTGGTAAGACAGCGACTGCTTCCGCGTGCACGGGTTACGGTGTGCGGTGTGTGACCTCTGCCGACTCTTACACGATATCGAGAAGCGACGGTCAGATTGTGGGGCAGGACTGTAGTACGTCCGCTGGGTCTGGGTCGGATTTCTGGGACGACGACTCGGTCGCGCACACACACCCATCCCAATCCCTGCTTAGTGACATGGCAACCATTATGGCCACCACGATCCACGACAAAACAGGGCAAAAGAACAGAAACGGACCGTCGTGCACCTGTCTTACAAAAGAGGACCGCATGCACACACACCCGTCACTGGTGGTGCAGACCACGACCCACTCCGTCTTTGTCAACAGCGCATCCGAGGACGTCATCGCGAACCTGCTAGAGTCGCACCCCGAAACTGAAAAAGGACCGAATTGTACCACGGACGAGGACTTGGGCAAAACCGCCGGTCCAATCGAGGCGCGCACTCTTCGCGCATCGAAAAAGACCGCACCCCCACGCACACACACAGATACACCCGAACACACCCAAGCACAGCAGCCAACCACAGCGCTAGATGAGCTAGTACATGCACAGGCACAACCATCCGCCCACCCGACTGAGGGTATGGCTGCCACAGACCGCATATGCCTCACCCCACCGGCTGTAGACCTACGCAGCATTGGAGCCAGGCGTGTGGGTGGGTCAGTGCACACCCCTCCATCTCACCCCACCCACTCACCCATTCACACACACACATACACACACACTCGTTCGCACTCACACACCCCACCGTCTCGTCACATGCAAATATACACGCACAGGCCGCCTTCTCATCGTACACACATACACACCCACACACCCTCGCCCCCACCTCATCACACACACACACACACACATACACTCGCACACACCCCTCCAGCACATCGCACACATACAAGTGAAGGGACAGCCGCAGACGCACTTCTATTAGTGCACAGTCTGCCTGTGCATGCGTTGGATGAATTCGAAAGTACTTCTCCGAGTCGGGATAATGACCTAGCGGTTAGGATCCGCAGGTATGTTGTAGGCTACAGTGTGCTACCAGGGGGTCTGTGCATTAGGGTTTTAGGGTTTACTAACGTGTGTTCATATGGGACTGATGGTCTATCAGAAACATTTTCTGTGGTACAGATACGGCAGTGTTTTAAATCCATCGACTTATAGCCCCCTGAAAAGGCCCCATCTCCGACTGAATTTCTAGATGTATTGACTGAAAGCCATACTCTAGCCTTTGGTCTGAATATTCATAATGAAAAGGCCTACCCCTGAGTAGCCTTAACCACTATAACTAGGCGGAAATACGATACATATACAAATTCTCAGCTTGTATTTCTGTACCGAAACCCAATACAGAGCGAAAGCGCAAATATGTTACATACTCTATACTTGTATTTCTTCACCCAAACCCAATACAGAGCGAACTCTCAGGCAAAGTCGACTATTCTTGCCGACCTGCGAGAAGGATCGGAGTTGAGTCCGAAAACCGTCGCAGCAGCAAAGATACGTGCTACCAGGTATTCACATTCAATAGGGACAGATCTATAATGAAAGTACATTCCATAGGGACAGATCTATTCTGAAAGTTCATTCCACAGGGGCAGATCTATTATGAAAGTACATTCAATAGGGACATATCTATGCAAGCACATTTTATTAGGGACAGATCTATTAAGGAAGTACATTCAATAGGGACAGATCTATTATGAATTTCATTCCATAGGGACAGAACTTTTATAAGGTACATTCCATAGGGTCAGATCTATTAAGGAAGTACATTTAATAGGGACAGATTCTATTATGAAAGCGCATTCAATCAAGACATATCTACTAGGAAAGCACATTCAATAGGGACAGGTCTATTATAGAATCGCATCATATATATATAGATTAGCTACTGTGTATGGATGCGAGATACAGGAATGTGCAAATAGCGTTACTATGATTCAATGCCAGGCATCTTGTTTCCATGGGCCATTTGGGTCCTGCCGACAACTCGGTGCAACCGTGCTAGCAAGTTCGCACATATATCCTGATGAAGTACTATGCAAGTGTAGCGTCTATGTATGTGTGCTTGGCGGACGAGTCGGAATAACGTATTCACAGCTAAGGGAAACAACGAATAACTAAACAACGAACAGCTTCCATCCGTTTAACTCCCATCCTTTGATCACCCATCCGTTTAACACCCATCCGTTTAACATCATTCCGTTTAACACCCATCCGTTTAACACCCATCCTTTTACACCCATCCGTTCAACACCCATCCGTTTAACACTCATCCGTTAAACACTCATCCGTTTAACACCCATCCATTTAACACCCATCCGTTTAACACCCATCCGTTCAACACCCATCCGTTTGTCACCCATCCGTTCACCAATCGTTCCCTACGCCCCACTGCCCAGTGTGAACCGAGTGTTCACTGCTGAAGAGATCGCCGCAGCGCAAACACGAAGACACAGCATGTCATCTCGCCCGTCCTGGTCTCTTGTCCACAAATTTAGTGACGTCACCGAGTATCTTGAACCATCTGTTAGCGTTAGCCAATTAGAATGCGGCACAAGGTTTTTTGGCGGGGATTTAGAGCAGGTGGACGATGCACTGTGCAGTCAACGGCCACGTCCGAGCCCACGCCCAGACAAACAGGGCAGGCGAAGTACTATACCGCAGTCAAACCCACAAAACGGGACGGAAACCGGGACGAAAACCGGGACACCCCCGGCAACCCCCCCACGCACGCAGTCACCAGTACCACACACCCGCAGGCACTCAGCGATGCAACTGAGTCCAGTGGTGTTCAAGCTGCCGTTGTCAGGGGGCGAGTCGCACACGCGTCCACGTACCCGCACACGCTCAGAATCCTCGGGTGCATTACGGTCCCCATTGTCAACTTTTGGACAGTGGTGCCCAAGTTGGAGTCCCGAAATGGGACGGGTCAAAAAGCAGGGGGTCAGGCGTATGAAGGACAAAGCAGGGCCTGGACAGTACACACAGGTGCAGTTGATGCGAGTGATACATAAGCAACCGTTGACGGATGATGAGACTCTCACGCACCCTCATACCCACACACGCGCACACTCAGAATCCCCGGGTGGCATTCGGCCCTCCATGACAGATTTTGGACACCTGGCCAAGAAACAGGACAGGCGCATGGAGGACAAAACGGGTCCTGGACAGGGCACAGATGGGGAGGTGATAGGGTCATCGCCCATGGTAAGTCAGGCGGTGCAGAAGCCGCCCAAAGCCCTCCCAAGAGGTGCACCCCCCAGCACGGACGAGTGCCAGGGACAGTGGGTTGGTACCGAGACTAAGACTATAGTTAAGGCTAGGGCTAAGGCTAAGGCTAAAGCCAAGGCCAAGGCCGAGGGTGAGCTCGCCTACACGCATGTGGAGGATCGTGCATGTACATGTACGAACCCACCCAAGCCCACCGATGCACTGGACCAGACACGCACAACCCCACCCGCCACTGCAGTCGACCGGTCCCACATAGCCGTGCAAGCAGCCGGCCAGCCACCCACAGACACAGACACAGACACAGCCACACACTCACCCGTGGTTCGGGCGTTCGAGCGCCCTGACCTTGTGGCTGGGGCGGGTGCTAGGAGGAGCTCAGCAGCACGTCCTCGGCCCAAGTCAGACCTATTCACAGAGCCACCCCCCCCACACACAAGCACAAGCCGTTCCTTGCGTGGGGATGGCGTGGCGACAGGTGACAGTCTCAACTATTTCAAACTGCACGTCTGTGTGCGTGAGATTGGGAGAGAGTTCAGTCCGCCCGTGGAAGAGTCGGCAATAGACGGTACAGCCGCGGGTGTGTCTCTGTGCTGCGAGTGTGTGCACAGGGGCTGTTGTACTGCAGAGGACAGGCGCAGTGTATACGACGGCGAGAGGGGTGTAGGGGAAGCCGTTGCGGACCACAGCCACGACGGGCACAAGTCAGACGACAGGGATACCTACCACGCTACACCGAGCAATGGTATTACGAATAGTAATACGGATGACGCACACAACACCTCGAATACGAATAGTAATACGGGTGACATACACAACACCTCCGCGCAGGACAGGCGCCACACGGGTTTGGCAGAGACACGCACCAACCACCACACACAGAGGAAGGATGGCAGTAGCCAGAGCAGTCGCAGCACCAACGGGGGGGGTGATACGCCTTTATCTGAGGCAGGAGAGGGACCCGACCCGCACACTGACGCTACGGCTAAGGCTAAGGCTAAGGCTAAGGCTAAGGCTAAAGCTATGACTGAGACGAAGGCAAAGGCGACGGAGGATGAACCCAAGAATATGCTGAGCTTTGTCAAGAAGTACAGACACACCGTGCGGTACAAAAGCATGCCCATCCCCAAGAACAACACGCTGGGCCGTTGCAGTACGTCTACGGACATACCTCATCACACCTCACTACACACGCCAGCCGTTGCCATGGCAACTGCGCATGATAGCTTTGTGCATCCATCACTTGTGGATGTGTTTGATGGCGGTGTGGAGTCGGCGGACGTTCAGTGGACGAGATCACTGGGTGCACCACCCCGTCACAACTCTCGGGGTGAGTTTGTGGGTGTGTGTATGGTTGTGTATGTGTGTGTATATATGTGGTGTATGCGTGTACTACTCTCTGGATGAGTTTGTGGGTGTGTGTGTATGGTTGTGTATGTGTGTGTATGGTTGTGTATGTGTGTATATATAGTATATGCGTGTACTACTCTCTGGGTGAGTTTGTGGGTGTGTGTGCATGGTTGTGTATGTGTGTGTATATGTGTGGTATATATGTGCACTACTCTCTGGGTTAGTTTATGGGTGCGTAAATGTGATTTGTCTGTGGGTTTTTGTGTGTGTACCAGTTATATGTAGAAAGTGGTATCTGTACTTGTATATGTGGGTATATTTGTTTAATATATACGTGTATATATGTGTGTATCTCTGTTTTATATATACGTGTATATATGTGTGTGTCTAGTATAATATATGCGTGTATATATGTGCGTATCTGTGTTTAGTATATACGTGTGTATATGTGTGTATCTATGTTTAATATATGCGTGTATATATATGTGTATCTGTGTTCAGTATATGCGTGTATATATGTGTGTATCAGTATTCAACTTATGTGTGTATGTAGTTTGGGGGAAATCTATGTGCTCAAAGTGTTACGATTAAACGCAGATGCGTACCCAGAACTCTGTGAAACCTATATGTTATCTTTATGTCAGTGGATAATTTTAAACCCCATACACTTGCCACTGGTAGCGATGACCACGCCAAGTATATACTAACCCGTTCCCATTATAAACTGCAGATCAGAGGTACTTCATGCCGTAGTAGTAGCACGCCATATAGACTGGCTATCTACACCCTACCTACTTGACGTACACATACTGAACATCTAGTTCTTAGGTTTCGCACGGAGGAATAACCGCAGACCTTCAGTGTAGGCAGAAAAAACTCTTCCGTTCAGGCACACTGGTACTCTATCAAGTTCAAACCAGTCTTGTCACTCCATAACCGCCCGTGTGGCACTCAAACATACCTTAAGCATTACGCAAACATATCGCAAAACAAAATTCTTCAAACATTTCTTGAATATAACTTCCCAAACAAATCTCAAGCATAGCTAACATAACGGAGAGCACATAACGCAAACATAACTTATCAAGCATAACGCAAACAAAACGTTTCAAACATAAGTAAAACACGGCTTTCTAATCATAGCTCAAATACAACTTTTCAAACATAACGCAAACAAAACGTGTCAAATATAACGCAAACATACCCCTTTTGTGCAGGTGCAATGTCCTCCGGGCGCAATCCGTTGAGTCTGGAGTCGCGGAAGTTATCCGAATTCCTAGAAAACGCCCCAATGACAGTGCTGAATGAGAACGATCTATCCCAAACAGCCACAGTGGAGGTCAAGTACCGTCCGCTCGTTAACCGGCGGATGACCGACAGGTATGAGTCATCGATGAGTCATGCATGGGTCGGGCACGCCCATTGTATAGAGGACAGTATGCAGATCTCGATGAGGTCTAGATGAGATTTAGATGAGATCTAGATGCAGTCTGTGGATGTGGGCTTAGGGAATACGTTCGGTAGTCTTCGTTGCCTGTACACTCACAGCTGTAGTCCCCGTTCAGACCTGTCTGTTTGCATAGATGCACATACTACCACTTGTGGCTGGTTTAGGTTTGCGCCAATACCGCACGCATCGTATTGATACGCATGCGCTGAGTTGTTCACTTGGCACCGCTTACTGTATAACGATGCGCACTGGCACGACATCCTACTAAGCAGAATACACCGAACACCCGTACAGGCGTTCAGGGTAGATGATGAGTCATTACACTGTCTTCATTGTTTACTGAATATTTGCACACACTCTCTCGACGTCAATTGAAACTGATTTACGTTAAATGCATCGCAGTCGAAAGTCACTGACGCGCAAGAATGGGACTGGCGATATCATCCCTCTCCTTCGCCCTCTGAGACCTGTCATAGGCATCAACGCAGACCTCGCAGATAACCCAAACTTATCTAGATCATACAGCGACATGGTCCCGTAAGTGCAACCGTGACGCACATATATATCTTTATATATATATATATATATATATGTATATATACGTATACATACATACATACATACATACATACGTACATACATACATACATACAT